CGAACGGACACACAGACAGATGCATGGATGGACACATGAACGGACGCAGGCGCGGACGCATGGACGAACGCCGGGACGGACGCACGAACAGACGCACGGGACGGGTGGATAGACACATGGGCGGTTACACCGACGTACGCAGGAACGGACGGAAGCAAGAACGAATGGACGGACGAATGCTTCGCCCCACTCCCCATCATTTACTCCGTGGATATGCTGCCATTTTTTCTACTCCGAGTAGCAAAACGTGGCGGCGCTATTTCGCACTAGCGTGCACACAAAAAAAATACCTCTCCACACGCTTCATTTAAGCGTGAAATTGCGTCATGTTGGTCACAACAGCGCGATTTCGCGAAGGCGCTTGTAAATAAATGAACGCGTCCCTCCAACCACCCGTCCATCGCGCCTAAAATCGTGCTGCGGGGTTGTACCTTAAGTGAACCCTGAAACGATTTTAATGATTCTGTCAAACCACATTGGGCCGGTAGACCAAAAACCAAGCATAATTTAGAAACTGATTTGAGCTCTTTGCATAAACTGTGTAATTTATTACAACGCTTTAAAGCTGCGAATCGCTCCAGACCGCTGCAGATCGCTGCAGCTCGGCCAAGCGCATTAGCAACCACACATACACCGCGCGACATGCTGTGCCCCACTGACGTCATCGTTTCCAGCTGATCTGATTGGCTGTGGAACGCGCAGCACAGACTGCCGGTATCCGATCGGCGGCAGGATTTCCGCGTATGCAGTCTCAAGCCACATCGTGGCGCAAGCGCCATGCATGAAGGTGGAGTCCCGACTGCTCGAAGGAAGGGTTGAGGGCAGTTGATGGTGAAAGGCGGAGCGGGGGTGGACGGTACTTTTTTAGTACACGTAGCTTCGTTAATATTGGTGGTTTCGATATAACTCTGGTACCAATGATTTGCTCCAGTAGTGGTCTAATCAAAAATGAAATGTGAATAAACCGTTTCAGGGGCCCTTTAACAATGGTCCTGTATGGTGTAAATGTGAGAAATAAATGTTTGTCCATCGAAAGGATTAGGGGGAATTAACAGCTTTTTGGTGTTAACTGCCCAGGGACTAACTGCTAGCCTAGATGCCGTTAGTGCCTAAATAAATGAATGATCTTAGCACTCCCATCAGTCCCCAAACGTATGAACCACAAATTATTTTAGCACCATTCTCTCTCAGAATATAGCCTCATCCTCGTCACTGTAAAGTGCGCATTCATCACGGCATCTCGCCGTGTGCATTGTTACCTGAGGTGCGCCATGAAAGATAGTCCGTGTACCGTCGAAAGTTTGGAACGTTTTAGATACGCGCCGAGTCTGGGAACACTCCACGAATCCGTTAAGTACATTATTGTACTAATAAACTTGACATGCTAACAAACAACATCATTTACAGTGAATATTTACTTTTACTAACAAATGTTTGAGTGCCTTTGAACGTACCGTACACAATTGCTTAAAATGTGCAGTGGTGCTTTTGGTACAGAAAGAGGCGAATTTCCAATATTTGGATATTGTGTGCCAAAGAGCACATTCGTTGAGTTATTGTACACGGTTCATCGTATATTGCCTTTTTAACAATTTCCTTATGAGAAATCATTCAAGCCAACGAATAAAGTACCATTCCACCCTCCTGTGCATACTGGAACTATTGGTAGGGGAAAAAAGTTTCCCTCTTCATGTTTCAATGTGTGACTTCCCTTGATTATAATTCATGTCTAATATACATGCGCTACTTAACGAGAAGATAAACTTTACCGAATAGTTCTGTCATCAGAGGCATCAAGTACTATTACCAAAGCATTGCCCTGCTATTGCCTGTTTAATTGCATCATGTTTTTTGAATAACTCTATTCTATCCATGGTACTTTGTCGGCTGCTTGCGCAATTAGGCAGGCATGTCACACAATGGGTCCTGCACTAGCCAGCTAAGCACTTAGTCTAAAGATTTGGTCTTAAAATGGCTTGTTACTCAAACTTAAGAGTTACCTAAAAGAAGATGCAAGTGTCCTTTTATACAGACAGTACTAGTGATAATACACAAAAGAAGTTTTATGGCTCGTTAAATAACAGGGCAACCAATGACTCAAACTGCTCAATACTTCTTCTAGACTCCTTAGGTAAGAATTCTATTAACTGTGAAATTGCATTGTAATTTCGGGATAGCTTTGATACGGAAGAAAAAAAATGGGCGGTTTACAATTGCATGTAAGCCCTCAGTCTTGGCGAACAGACGAGGAATTATTCGTTTCGAAATAACAAGTTCAGCAGATCTTTTTATACCTTTTAGAATATATTTATGGTGTTTTTCCAAACCCAGAAATTCCAGACAACACAAATCTTGCGTTTTGCCGCAATTAAACATTTATTTAGAAATGTTTAACAATGCACTGCTGCACCACATAAGCAATTGCAGAGCGAAACGAAAAAAAAATATTATCTCATATTCATTTGTTTCAAAGGCAGTACTTTATTTAATGATATGAACCGTTATGTACGACAAATATCGTTCAAGACCGATAAAGAGGTGATCGCTGTTTCATACGCAGTTTCCCAGCTCGCAACATAAGCATCGCAAGTCAAATTCCTTGCCGTAAAATGTTTTGTCGGTGTTAAAACTGCAGTGAAAAACATTTTTTTGTAAGCACTGTCATTGTAGCTACAAAGTATGGATTTGTAAAGGTAATATATGCGGAAAGCGGCAGACACAGGATAAAATACATTGAACCATTACAGAGTGAACCATTACCTCTTCACACAGGAAAATATACAAATATATGGGAAGTGATTCCGTGAAATCAGCTGCACGATTTAATTTACTGGACACTAGAAGCTTTTCTCGTTGTTCCACAACAGCGCTTCTTGTACGCCCATGGAGTACAGATTTGCGTCACAATGCAGCAGCTACGGTAAAACGACCTCGACCGGTACGGTAAAATCAACTCGACAGAGAAATATATCGGCGTGTGGCGAGCGAACGAGAATCGACGCGAAGCGCATACCAACTTAGTGAGCAGAAATTTTAGCTGCTTACTTATTTCCTTCATCATCTGCTCTCGGGGGACTCATGCCATGAATCTTTCAAGACCACTCTACCGGCAAAAGCCTCAGTATAGAGTAGCTTGCAGGAGAAAGTTGCGAGTGATAAAAGATGGTGAATTCCAGAAGTGCAGTCACCTCTTTACTATCGTTTTTTTTTTCTGATTCGCAAATATGACGGTGTACGTGGAGACTGTAGCCTGATTGAAATGTCATTTATGGAGACAACATATATCCAAACTACGCGAGATGACACGGTGTCAAAATTTTCCCCAGCGAGTTCAGAAGAATTCACTGAAGGGTTTGGGCGCAACCGATTTTTCTTGATTCGGTGCATAAGCTATACTACTGTACCACGTTAACTGTACACATTACAAGACATTGTCCTCCTGTATAGTGTTTAATTTATTACTGTATACCTTGTATGACAGTCCACGCGCTCAGATGTTAGAAACGGGCACTACAACAGATTTAGTGCGGTAACGTCCCCTGCGATGGCGTCTCCCATCACTGTTGCTAGTATGCACTTTTTCATTGCTGTTCAGCAAGCTCCGAAATTCTATGAGACGTACTGCATCCGTATAAAAGCTGATAAATGCTTGAGTACCCCTTCACTATTTTTGCAAGTGAAATAAACAGCGTATTGGAAGCGACATCGCACATGCCGTATATATGCATTAGTAGCACCGTCTGCGTTTGTCTTTATATCTTCATGGAGTTATGTCAGTAAACTTTTATTTGACCCACCACGGTACCGTATAGTGGCTAAAGCACTAGGCTGCTGACTCGCAGGTCAGCGGATTGAATCCCGACCACGGTGGCTAAATGCTCGATGAGGTGGAAGTGCTTGAGGCCCGTGTTCTTAGAGTTAGCGGCACGTTAAAGAACATCAGGAAGTCGAAATGTTCTGTGCCCTCTTACGGCGTCTCTCATAATCATATCGTGGTTTTGGGACATCAAACACCAACAGTTATTATTCACTTTCAGTTGACGTCTAGTTCCCGTTGTGTTTTCGTGCCTGTATCGTTCTATAAGTTCCGCTGCGCTTGCTAAGATGCACAAGTCGTGTACCTTTTAAAACACGGAAAGTACTAATCGCAACAGTGACGCCTCGTATTATAACGAATGTTTTTTCGCGGTGCATGCGTAACTACCGACTACAATGAGAGATATAAGACAACACGCATTTTTACGTGACTCTGTTCTGCGGGTGAGACAAGGTGAGTGATCCAAAACTGACCGGCGCTTAAACGTTACGCTTCGCCGTAAAGCTAGAGTAGCCTTCTTCTCCGGGCCCACAGCATCTTTATATTACCGGAAGATAAAGCGGCACATGGCAACTGGCTTCATGAGTCGCAGTTATGACAAACACTTTTTTCTGTTCGTCCGCTGTTCTTGCTTCATTCAGTTTGGCAGTGCTACTGATCCACGCTGAAAGAACTGCATTAAAATTTGTGCCAGTACCACTAACTTTTTTGAGGCTCTGAAATGGTATTACTTTTTTTATTTTCTAAACACTCACCTACGCCTCTTTGTCCTAAATTTAACCTGAAGCTGTTGAAAGTTCAAGTTAGTCGCCCAACCCTTTCTTTGAACAGTTTCCTGCTGCCACTACTGATTATTCTTTGAAATTTCCTTCACTATTTATATTCATTTCATCAATTTGCAGGAATACTGGCTCTCACAATTTACAAACTTAAAGCATTCTCAGTCTAAATTTCTTTCACTTATTTACCATTGCCTATCTCTACTATTTTTATCGTAGTTTCGATATGCAACTATTACGACAATAACAGCTCAGTGGTTGCAGCTTGTAAAATTAAGGAAAATATGCATGCTAAAACTGGCACTATGAATTCAGCCCATCGAAGAGTGTACGTACCCAAGGGGACCGTCAACGAAGTCCAAACAAATGCTCAACAAAACCATAAGCAAGGGTCTGTGACTTGACTACGTCGCTGGCCACCAGGAAGCCAGTTCCCACAGAACTTCCTGTTCGTCGTCGACACCACAGGAAGCCTTCTTGGGTGAGGCACAGTGTTCCTCAAAACTGCCCGCCCGATCAACGCGGGAGGCAGGAATCCCGCACTCATTGCTGTTGCTGCTGCAGGGAGACGACGTTGATTCCACTATAGAGGGAGGTGAAGAACCCGAATAGGCACCGTCAGGAACCCTGTTCTCCTTCGGAGAACTGTACTGTTCTTCGGGGAGTGATACCGCTTGGCGTCTGGTAAGTTCCAGCAGCTTTTGCAGCTCGCGGATGTACTCAACTGCCGACCGCAGCGTTTCCACTTTGCTCAGTTTCTTCTGGCCTGTCTGGGGGACGTGCTGCCGGAGCGCGTTGAAACCATGGTTCACTAGTCTCACCCGGTTTCGCTCGCGTTCGTTCCGGCGGGCCACGGCCGCAGTGTACGGAGCCGTGGTCGCTACAAAAGATGTCATCTTCGCTGGCCGCGGGCTCGCGGGCGAGCACTGGGTGGAGTGGTGGCGACTCTCATCTTGGTGAACGATATCGTGGCGGTGATGGTGCGTGTGCTGAAAGAGCGCCACACCGTCGGGCTTCATGACACCTCTCTGCAAAGGGAGTTGCGCGCGTACTGATCACCGGGAGCGCAGCATGCGGCTTCACGAGTCGGGGAGAAGGGACGGGTGAGAGGGGTGGTAGTCACGCAGGTGAGGGAGTCTTGAGACGCCGTGGGCTGGTTTTCTATTCTTGCTATTTTGTTACCTTTTGCTTGATCTTCTATTCGTCGCCATCAGCGCTCCCGCTGCTTGTTGTGGCGCACGCTTACGCACGCGACTGCTCTGCGGGGGTTAAGAGTACACCGGTCTCTCCTCCCGCCTCTCTCCACCTTTCCGCTCGCGTAGAGGAAATGGGCCGCCGCTTAGATTTGTCCAATGGCGGCGAACATCTGAAGGTTCACCCGTGACCCTCCACAATGGGGCCTCCTTTCCGTGAGGCCCGTCCCACCGCCTTCTGCAGGCTCCGTGAAGCCTTCGCTCTTGTGGCTGCTTTCGTGGGCGAGTGTTCGAGCATCTGCAGTCGCGGTTACGCGCCAACAGATGGCAGGAGGCCCCTACATACGCTCTTTACCCGAAGTGTCTTCGACAGTGGTACTCGTGCGCGGACTTGCTCGCGATCGGACAACGTGCCTTGGGCAATGTGCTACGAATAATAATGGAGACTCGCTTTGTTAAAACAAACAACCTAACAATACAGTGATTGACTGACCGCACTTATTGGGGAAAGGCATTTTATGGTCCCATATTTGGATCTTTTTTTTTCTCAAGGTAAGTCAGTTTTTTCTGAGGGATTGTATGGGAATTCTGCCAAAAAGGGTTGAAGTACTCCACTTCAAAAGAATAATGGCTCCACCAAAGGAACTAATAGCACACTTCGCAAAAAAAAAAATTGTAGACGACGAGCCAAATTTATCCATTTCGATTGTTTTTGACAGTTTTCTTCGAGCGCGAAGCCTAACGAGGGCTAAATCCGACCACTACGACAAAAAAAAAATACAAAAAACGAAAGGAAAGCACGTTGAAAAAAGAACAATCTTTTGTCGTGTCTAAGGGGCGACCCTTCGCTGAATAAAACTTTAACCCATAACCTCTAACGAACGTCAGATCGCGAGCTCGACACGGTTCTGCTACACTACGCTCGAACATGGCATTTATAAGTTTATGTTGTCATGTGATAAGTAAATTTAGTGATCTCTTTGCATTTTCTTATTTAGAAGCGCCGATTTGAGTGTCCGTGCTTGTGACTACCAAACGTACTCGGGCTTATTTTTTTATTAGAAATACTTCAAATCAACATTGTGGCTCATGCATTATGGGCCTCACGTAAAATGAAAAATTAAATGTGCAAACAACGCAATGGGTACACACAAAAAATCAAGCGAATGATATACACCATTGTGACAATCCCTGAAAGATGGGATCATCAAAACGGGTTGTAGAAATCGTTAAAGACTATTTCCCACTTTCTACAGGCATCCCACACTCATTCCTGGACCTGTTGCACAGCGACGATGCTGACTCGAGAATGGAGAGAGGCGGAGAACACGAACAGGCACCGTCAGGAACCCCGTAACACGACTGCTTTGGCAGAGAGTTCGTGTATTTAATTTGTGATTCGCGAGATCAGAATGTCAATCCGACACGTTCTGGAGCAAAAAAAAGAGAGAGAGAGAAATAAAAATAGTGTAACTGATTATGGGAACGGCATTCGCACTGACTTGCAAAGCATTTTGTCATTTCTGTGAAGTAAACACCGCACTTCTGAACTGCACACTGGACAATTCGGTTTTCATCACCTGAGATTCAATTTTCGTCGCTTCGATATATTTTCGATTGGTCTTGTCCACGTCCTCCGACTACAGCCGTATTACTTCATTGAAGCTGTACCGTAAATTAGGCTACGGCTGAGTCCTTCATTTGTGGCGTTCGTAGTGAGAAATTGAATATTAATATCAGAAGATAAAGAGAACCGTTTTAATTTGTTTTCTGTCGTGACTTCTTCATTGAAGTTATGATTACTAAGTAAACTACACAAATACACAGCCAAAAAAAAAAAACGCCAGGCTTGCGCGGAGGGCACAGTACAGTCACAGCGAAGGCTAGAAGAGCGGCCTCTCAGAAGTTTTTCAAAACACTGATTGGGTAACTACTGCAGCAACACTTGCTTGATACCCACTATAGAGCATTATAATAAACTTTTGGGTAGTAGACCGGCATTCGCTATTTTTCGTAACTCTTCTCAGAAGTGTGGCATTCGCTAAACACTTGCAAAGAATTTCGTGCCAATCGTTCATGCAGTGGCTCATGACGATGAGGAATTATAGCTGAAATATGTATGCGCCACAGTTATTGGTAGAAGAAGAGCAAGCTTTTTTAATGGGTTGGACCATTAGACGGCCCACTCATTACGCTATTCGTATTGTGCGAATAGCGTGTTTCTGCTATTCGCACTGTGCGACGACTGGTTGTTCTTTCGCTGTTTTAGAACGCTCTTTCAGTCGTATTACCACGATTGCTTTCCCGACATCAAGCCTGCCTAAGGCAAGTTCTCCAACAAGTCACAAGCACCAGCGTAGCTTAGTGGTGGAGTACAGGGCTGGCACCCAGTGGACCTGGGTTCGAGCCCCACTGTGTCCTTGGTGCTAGGTCTGCCAACAAGTCACAAGCACCGGCGTAGCTCAGTGGTACATTATTGGGCTGGCACCCAGCAGACCCAGGTTTTGAGCCTCACTATAATCTGATTGACTGACCGTATTCTCTTTCGAAAGGTAATTACTTGTGCCATATTCGGATAACAGCTTTCTCTGTAAAAAGCCGATATTAAGGGGCCACTCACCAGGCCTCATACCAAATTCTAATTAGACCGTGAAAGTTGTTGGGTGTCTGATGAGAAACATTTTGCCACAATTTTTTTTAATCGGTTTATTACAATCTGAGAAAGCTGGTTTTTTTTTATGCGGCGCGAAACGAGGATAAGAGGAGGCGAGCTCAAAACCCTTGCCGCTTCTACGCGTAGCCTTCGCAAGCCAAATCTTTTTCCAACCCTCTCCGCCATCTGACCAAGAGGTCACGTGCACATGACGTGCATGAACAAGCCCCACCGCCTGCACCCGAGCGGTGTTTTTTGATGTTGTTGCTGTTGTGTTGTTCTTGACCAGCATTATTTCGAGGTTTACTGCCTGTTTCTGCGGCATTATTTGAAAACGCTGGGTTGGACGCGGTAGATGAGCACAATGAGTGCGCGAACGCGTAGGAGCGTTATACGGCTGTCGTTTGCTCGATTAGAGCACTGCACGGGCTAATTTTTCCGACCCGGGCCCAGTCCGGCCAGAAATTTCTATGCACCGGCCCGTCCGAGCTCAGCCCGGGGTTTTTAAATACGGTCCCTACCAATCCCGGGCCCGGAAGGGTTGGATCCGGGCAGGCCCGGCCCGTTTTAGCCAAATATCTCTTGGGCATAAACGAAGCACTGTCCCATCTTCGGTTATTGTATATACACCTGCTGCACACAAGATAACTTCTAAAGAGTGTTTTGAGAACATTTGTCAGGGCCACGACTTCAACTCTTCGTTTGTATATTTCAGGTTAATTACAACTGTAACACATTCGGCAAATAATTTCAGAGCAATGTCTAATATAATAGAGTTATAGCTGGCTCTCTCATCTACACAGTGCTGCTAACCACGCTACCTTATTTTTGCATTTCAAACAAAGACTGGAAAACAGAATACCCACATAAAGTGAAAAAAAAAGCCCCACATTTATACTCCGACTCTATATAAAGTGCGTATTAGCCATGGCTGTTTGGGTTAATGTAGCAAGGCTCCTGCAAATTTCGTTTTTTTGCTTGGTGGAATGAAAAAAAATGCCTCCAGCATCTTCTCACGGGAGGAACCCAAATAAATGCATATCAGAGTGCGGAGTGGGGGTGGGCTGGGCGCTCATCATTGTTGCAAGAGGTTTGACGACGTGCGCGACGGGATTGTCTTCCTTTTTATGTCATGAACAGCTAGTCATATTTGTCACACCATCTTACCCTCCCTTACTAAATTTTGGTTTTCCCTACAATATTTGGGACATTACGCGAGCACCCAGACATGAAATCACGCGAGCACCCAGACGTAAGAGATAGGTAGATCGATATATAAATAGGTACCTAGCTAGATAGATAGATAGATAGATAGATAGATAGATAGATGATAAATAAATAATAAATAGATAGATAGATAGATAGATAGATAGATAGATAGATAGATAGATAGATAGATAGATAGATAGATAGATAGATGAAGGCTAAGATACCTAGGCTAATGGTGCTTGCAGCAAGCAAAGGAATTCTTCACAAATAAAAAACACGTGTCCACCAGACACACCTGAACGAGCCACGCGATAGGTATTCTTATAATTTTTAACAAACATACGGTATGCAGCGCACGCAGCCCCCTCACATCCCGATAACGCAGCGACTATACAGCTTGCGAAACTATGTGAGGCAAGCTAGTTGGGCCTCTGCAGACCCCAAGCAGAGGTTAGATGAGCACGTATAACCTGCATACATTGAAATTTTACAAGAGATTGGGACCATATCACCACTTTTGATGCGTTTTACTTTTTTTGTTGATATTCAAAAACAGCAGAAGCTATATAGGGGAAGAAGTTTGCAAGAATGGAAAAAATCCTCAGTATGAGGTGTCACTTGAGCCTTTGGAAATTTATGCAATCAAATGGGTCGCTACAGCCGTTACAGTACACCTTCATGTTACAAAGGGTACAGCAGCAAATCATCATCATCACCTTCTTTAGAGCTTTTACTAACTTTCACCGTGGGAGCAATTTGCGCTAGTTTGTCGAAGCGCAAGCGCAATACGCTTGTGCTTTTACAAATTAGTACACTTATGAATTACTGACAAAATATGGCAAACACGGAGGAGGCCGTATACGATGGGAATTCTAGTTAGATATTATTAGCTAATTAACAGATGTTACACAGATGACACTGCCTCAGTAACACATGAAATCAGCAACAATGGCATCGATAGGCACCTCTGAGATA